ATGATACTAGATTGTGAAGATGAAAGTCAGGAGGATACATCCGATATTTGCAGCCCCGATGCAATTCTAAAAAAAGAATTATTGCACCGCAATAAAAAAAAATCAATAAATATAACTGAAAGTCCTCTCGACTGGTGCAGCGTCAATCGAAAAGAATTTACAATTTTGTCAAGTTTCAAGTTTGTCGCCTCGAGCGAGCAGTTATATAATGGCCCTGATTTACGACCCTTTAAAAACTTTTTATTCGATACAATATTCCAATTTTTAAATTCAAGTACTAAAAAAAACATTATTAAAAATTACTAACCTTTACATTTTTTATTTAACTAAATCACCTAATTTATTCATCTAAATTATTACTTAACAAGTAAAAAAGTTAAGTTCGGGCGAAGCCGAACATTAAATACCTGGCGCAAGTATTCAATATAGTTTTTTCAGCTTTCCGAAAACTACCGCTACATGGTAAGCAGGGGTGGGGTTACCCGATTTCAAATATCTTCGATAGAACGTTCAGTTAGATATAATGAGATAAACTTATATAGATATATGTGGGCGGCATCACGCCCATTTTCCAAAATTCAATAATAATGTTACTTCTTTTCAAGGGATTGTTTCGGTAAAATTAGCGTCCTTAATTTCGAAATATCGAAGTTTCAAGCATTTCTGAAATTTACCGTTATGAAAAAGTGTGCGTAATTTTTGTCCGATCTCGATAACTTTCAACGTTTTGCTTTTATGTGGCAACCACAATAATCCTACCGAGTTTGGTACATATTGATCCAACGGTTACCGAGATACACATATATGCTCATAAGTGGGCGGGGTCACACCCATTTTAGAAACCTTTCATTATAAGCGTATTTTTTATTAAAGATTTATTGCAAACATCAATCTTGAATAAATTAGCTCCGGTATTTACTGATTTATCGAAGCTTTCGTATTTCTCTAAGTTACCGTTATATGGGATGTGGGCATGGTTATTATCTCATTTTTTAAAATTTCAGCCATTTGGTATGTTTTGTGAAGGCCAACAACTGTGTCAAGTTTGGGAGAAATTGGCGGAGCGGTTCCCAAGGTATACACATGTAATCATAAGTGGGCGTGGCTACGCCCATTTTCCAAAAATGTATAATATTATTATTTTTGATTGTAAATATTAATTTTGAGTGAATAAGCTTCAGTAGTTACTAAAATATCGTAGTTTTAGTATTTCTGAAAACTACCGTTGTATGGGAGGTAGGCGTGGTTATCGTCCGATTTTGCCTATTTTCAATACCATCCGTCCTACGCTCAAAAGAAGTATACATACCAAGTTTCGTTAAGATATCTCAATTTGTACTCGAGTTATCGTGTGCACAGACGGACGGACGGACAGACGGTCACCGCTTAATCAGTTTCTCTTTTCATTCTGATCATTTATGTATACATTTGTCTATATCTATTTCGATTCATTTTGCCTGTTACAAACAACCGTTATGTGAACAAAGTTATAAAATCCGCGGATGTTAGCGTTTAAACACCCGCATCCGCATTCGCATCCGCGGATGTTTAAAATTCCACATTCGCAACATCCCTGGTATATACCATTCGGTGAAGTCCTAAAATCTTGTTCAGCATTCGTTCTTTCATTGACATTGGCCCTGAAAGCCACATTGACGGCATAACCGCAATAGGATGTGCATACGTAAACTCTTTTATGCATTATTCTGCAGTCGTATACCCACATCACTAGTAAATGTTGTGGTTTTCTAACAATTGTACTCATCAAACAAACAAAGTATAAAGTATGTATATGTAAATAAATGATGAAAATACACTTGTATTTACATATTTTAAAGTATTGTTAAGCCTTAAACATTACCGACAAACAGTTAACATTGTCGTTTGTCGTTTTTTGATTTAAAAAAAACTCTACAAAAAGCAGTCGAACATATGTATGTACTTTGTGTGGAAAAAAATATTTATGTGGTAGCGTCAGCAATAAAAATTTCAAACATCAACATGATCTTTAGCATTTTTAAGCTCCCACTTTATTGTACTAATTTTGTGCTATAAAACTGCATGCCAAAAGTTATTAAAAAATTCAGATTAAAAAGTTTGAAATTTTTGAGAAATTCTTTTTTTTTAATTTTTGTACAAAGTTTGAAATTTGGACTTATAAGATTTTTGTTATGTAATGAACTAAGCGTCTGTTCTTCAGTAGGTGCGGCTGCAAACGCGCGTCTGTCAAGGACCAAGCGGCTCGCTATATATATGTATACGTGTTTTTGGCAAAAAAAAAAATAAAAGTAAAACATCAATCCCAGTGATGTAGCCATGGGTAATAGCGCAATTTTTATGGCGCTAGCTAAATAACACCGGTGCCACCTGTGGTGTCAGCGCACTAACTCAGCGCATTAGCGCAGTGTACTGATTGGTACACGGTGCCATCTGAGTGCCACCACAGTAACCATCGTCATACAGTGTAACACACCATGCAGTGGTGTCATGTCTAATATTACTTTAACTCTTGGCGCTGAGCAACGCTTGTACGGCAACGCAATTTAATTGCTAGGAATGTAGTAAATGCCACGATATTCCCATCATTATTGAGTAAAAGCTTCAAGTTTGCGTAATTAAAAAAAAAAAAATTAAGGCGAATTGTGTGTGTCTTATGTTTTTTTTTGTGGTAACGCCGCTAGCTCTTTTCATATATTGGTGCGGGTGCGACAACTCCGGCTACGCTGTTAGCGCAATGGCGTAGCGCAGCGCTGTGTTATCCATGCCTACAGTGATGGGTTATGCGCTGCTTGGGATCCACAACATAAAGAAATTATACCAATGAAAGGACCAGGATTTTTTTTTGGATTTTGTTTAAAAAATGTTTAAACATAAAAATGTTGATCTTAACTTAAGCTTAAATATATATATAAATATATATCATATGAGTCGATTTTTTAGGAAAATTATTCTTAAAAACCTATATTATTTATAAAAAACTCGATTATTGGCGTTATTTTCAAATAGATCCAGCTCACGTATATCTTAATGCTTTTCCGATATATTTTGGCTGAAGTCGTAGGATAGGTTAAACGGGCAGCTCTGGGAAGAGTTCCCTCGGAGGCCACGAAGGGGGTTACCCCATGTCTATCCCTCCATATACTTCAACCATTTTGATACTCTGGCGAATTCCAGCAGTCCCTCCAGCGGAGCTTTTCCAAGGTATCCAGGCTCTCGAAGAAATGGTCTCCAAGAAATTTAAGGCGTCTTCCTCGGAGTGCTGAGCACTCGCAATGGATGTATGTGCAGTATGGATTCTATTTCGTTTTTGTCTCTGCAGCTTCTACATAAATCGTTAGAGGGGTTTGAACCTGGCGGCCATGTGCGTTAGCATTCCTGTGAGAAGCCTAAGTTTTTGGCTTTCAAAGCCTAAATAAACTCCGCGTTCTTCGTTCGTCGAGCCGTGGCCACCGCGAGCGCGATACCATGCAGGTGTGCAGATTTTTCCATCTACTGTTGGTGGCTGCTCTACTCACTCTCTCAATTTCTGAAGACCGAAATCGCAGGTGAGGTTTTACGATCTGGATCGCTTCCCCAAGTCCCATCTCACCAAGCACATTCATCCTCTTCCCCACTTCCAGGGGCAACATTATGCCCCGGGACCCAGTAAAGATTGACTATGTGTAGGGATATTCGGAATTCCTTAACGCATATCGAGTTAGTCGTTGCCTACCATAAAGCTATGATGGAAGCCAGATTGTAAACAACGAAGGCAAGTTTAGACGGAGCTAGGTCGATCATGCTCACCAGCCTTGCCGCCATGTCGATTGCGTATTCATATTTCAGCCTGGAAGACCCTACAGTGTTCTGAGAGTCTATTGAACTCTCTCAGAGATAACGCCTGAGAGAAGACGCCAAATCCTTTTCCGATATCCATTTTGGAGCCGTCCGTGATAATGGACATTTCGTCGTCGTTGGGAGCAATATTCAATTCCCAGTCCCTCTCATATTAGAAAATATAACAAATTTTTTATTTCCGATGGAAACGCTGTACCGATTAATTTTGTATGGAGAGTGGTACAGGGTACATATTTTCGAATGTTTATAAAAAAATGTTTTAAAATTACTATGGATATTTATCTAAACGTGTACATACCTCGTTACCGCGTAAACCTAGTAAATAAACCGGCTTTCCATACAAAAGTATTTTTTTGGAAATAGCTATGCTAATTTACGGATGTTTACCGGACACCAAAAATATACGAAAAAAAAATTGTTGGCACAATGTAAGTATTTATTGCTGGCTGGGGAGCTGTGCACTCATTGATGGAGGCGCCTGTACTAAATACTCATCTGCGATAAGCGATGTGCTTGACACGTTTTCACTTAATTTTCTCAAACCTTTGTGCCAACAACAATTGCGCTTCTTACAAGAAGAACAATTGGTTAACAATAGGCACAAGCCCCCAAAGGCGATTAGTTCATGTGGCATGTGTCAGCTTTTTATGAAAAATTTTTAAGTCTCTACGTGGAACTTAATGTTAAAGTACTACTAATATATTCTAATAATATAAATATGTTCTTACTTATACCTACGTATTAACAAAAGTAAATATGTATGTATTGTATGTAGCCTTACTATACATAACATTTTTTGCAAATAGGTCATATATCAAATTTTTTTGGGCTGTCCGCATGATTTCGAACATGCAACTAATGGGTATTTACAATACAAATTGCGCTTAGGCTTCAATTTATTTTTCCAAAATTCGGATGAGAATCGCACGTAGCGGCTTAGAATAAAAAGGAAATGCGATGCGCTCGAAAGAACATTTCTACTTTGTATTTCTTCACGGACACATAGGCGGAGTGTGAGTTAGAGATTGGTTGGTTTTTGGGATATGTAAATATTAAAACTCTATGCTGTACTTAAAATAAAAATTTGTTTTAATTATTTTTATTTCACACAATATACATACTTATATAATTTATTTCCTGTTTCATAAAATATCGCGCCCCAGCAACGACTTTCACGCCGCAACACAATGTACAAAAATTGGCTAATTTTATTTGGCATCATCTGCTCGAACTTCATGGTTGAAGGGCAACGCAACAGTTCCAGTTATTTTGTAAATCTCAACAATTCAGCGGCTCCCTATTCGCATCCATATAAAAACTTAAATGCAAGCGATAATACATTTCCAGAAGCTATACCACTCGCACGATCCTTGAATTCTAGCAGCTATGGCTATGATGAATATGAAGATGAATTGGATTTTGAGTTTAGAGAAAAGGACTATGAGGTGTATGAATACTTGAGGCGCGTCTCGATGATATTCGGTTTGGCCAGCATGGCGAATGGCAGCAATGTGAATGAGGCTTGCAGTCGACATATGAGACATATCCAGCATGGGATTTTGCGGAAGGAACCGTGGGCGATGAAAGGTGAGTTTTTTCTCATGTGAAATGATTTTTCGATATATGACGCAAAGAAATTTGAGTCCACCTTGTTAAGATAACGAAAATCCCGACCGGTGGATTGCTCTACATGCTAGCTGCGCTTTAGCTTGTTCCGTTTAAAAGCTTTGTGATTATTTTTTATTTCTGAGGGGTTCGTGTAGTGCTAACTGGTTTAAAGGAATTGGACAGCTTAAATCTTGTTTTATTCTCTGTGAAAAGTACTAAGACCCTGTGATCTGGGTTCACAAACATACACATAAATGCATGTATATCTACATTCGACCGTACCAGAAAAAAGTGCGCCGTACACCCTTGAGTCATACGTATTTTTGCACGGCAATTTGAATTTTTTTTTTTTACATTTGGTTCTTAACGTATGATAAATCGGTGTTCATGCCTCGAGGAGACCGATTTTTTTTTGTTTCAAATACTCTCTATTATTATCATTACGCCGGGTATACTCGCGCTGCGACTTAAAAAAATCTAACTATTTTGCTAAACCCTAATTGCAGTCATTGCAACCATAGGCTATTAAAGAAATTAGGTACATTGGTGGGTGGAATGTTTGAAATTTTGAATGAGAAGATACACAGGTTTACAAAAAAAAGTTTATGCATATTAAACCAAACCTATATATCCCTATGTTATTGGACACACTGAATGCGAATCCGAGGTCCGTTATGGTCTGATTATGCATACTTCGCACAACTTCGCATAAACTTCAAACTGTAATTTCGTACGTACTTTGTATGTGTTTTGTATGTATTCCATTACCCAGAAATTAGCAGAACCTTTAAAAACTTAGCGATCTGTTGAGTTTAGATTTAGCTTCACATTTTCTTAAGTTACATTTTTTTGCACTGGTACAAATGGTTGTGCGAAGTTACATATGCGAAGTATGCATAATCAGACCCTTAGTCTCCATCACATCAGGTTTGTGGTCAGTTGAAGGTCAAGTAGGGAAAAATTCGTTGAATAAACCTGAAAATTCATATATATGGGGTTATAGATTCGCTGAACCCGAATCCGAGGTTCGTTAACCTCCATAGTGTCGAGGTCATTTGAGGGCCAAATATTTAGGACACAAAATTTATTCAATAAATATAAAAATCCGAAGGTCAAATTCAGAAGATTTTTATTGAATTTTCTGGTTTATTCAATGAATTTTTCCCTATTTGATCTTCAAATGACGGAGGCTAACGGACCGCGGATACGCATTCAGCACGTCGAATACTATATGGATATAGAGGTTTGGTTTAATATGCCTACAATTTTTTTTGTAAACCTGTGTGATCGTTCCCCAAGTAGTATTACTCTGCGATTCATGATACTTGGGTAGTCACAAAGAATATCTACTAGTGTTTCCTCCACTAGCCCACAACTGAAAATCCCATTTTATTCAAATGCTACTTTCACTTGCAGTGTTCTGACAGGTAGCCAGTAAGAGTTCTTATATCCTCCCTACTAAGTTTAATGAGTCTTTACGAGTTCCTCCTGGAGTTATGAATTTTCTTGATCGAATCATTCCCAGATTCCTCCCAGCTCCTAAGTAATTTTGCAGTACACCGAGCCACATAAAGGCTCGGAACCATGCAATCGCACTTGGGATCCAGGTTTTGCGAGGCAGTAAGTCGTCCGTTGTTATCAACTCGTTCATGTCCAGGAACGCACCACAGCGTCAGTCTATTATGGACTTCTAGGAAGTTCAAACGAGTTTTACAACTATTCACAAGCCTTGATGTCATTCCTTGTCTGACTATCCGATACGACATTTATTCTGGCCCCATTCGTCCTTCTGCGAAGATATTCGCGAGCACGGACTTCGATTGCATAGACTTTCGCCTGGAATCTGCTTGAGTAAGAGTCCATTGACAGACTTTCTACAATCGTGGTTCACGTATGCCTGCCTTAATATTCCCGTCGTCCATACGTCCGGCGGTATGCAATACTTGGAACCCTTTGTTTATCATAGATATTATCGCTTCACGGAAGTCCCTTTCAGGAATTCTGACCTTTTAGGGCTTGGCAAGAGATACATAATTTCGGTAGGCTGAAATCTGTTAACTTGATAGCGGGATCATCCAGGAGTGGCTTGAAAACCTCCATGTTGATTATATTCGGCAGTCGGTGCCGGTTATCTCACTAAGGGCATCCGTTGGACAAGTGCGCATAGCTCTTGTGAGGGTCATGCAGACCAATATTACAACTATGTGGGTGTCAAATTAAAGGGGCTCAGTAACGATTTTCTTCGAAAATATATTTGAAGAGGATTGCCACCTGTTTGTAAAGTCAAATTTAGTTAAACTTAAATAATAATTGTCAGTGGGTGATTTGTTCTGTACTTGATTCTTAAATTACCTCAGGAATGTTTTTATTCTTCAATTATTCCTTGCTTAATATGTCCAATTTTTTCTTTTGTCTCATACCCATATTGATATACATATTTCAGTTACCCTTCTACGTGTTGTTTATAAGTAAAGGATTTTCAAAACCATATCAATTGATACCCATATTGTAATATCTAGTTCATTTAACATGCAGTCAAGAAATAAAACGCATTACTTTAAAAAGTTCAAAAAATTAGCAGGTTTTTATTTCTTCTTTCGGAAGCTAAAACCCGCACTATTCAATAAAACTATTAAAAAAATATATGTTTTTACATATGTATATTTTTTTATTCATTCCATTAAAATTTACCACTTTTTGAAAATTTGAAAAATTTGTTTTAAAATTGTTTATCTGGAATACCGCAGGGATTCCGCTGTCTATATGGAAATAAAAAACGTCAAACCAACATTTTATTTCAAAGAATGTATTTTTGACAGTTGTTTCCGTGAAGACCTTACACGCATGGCTATGCTCTTATTAAAATTCTTAGTATAAAATTTGTTGACTTAAGTGGCTTCTTGGCGGCATATAATTTATTAATATAATATAATATATAGCGAATATGTAATTCTTTTTAGTGGATAAATTACCTTTACAAAAATACCAAACACGTTCACATTGCAGACAACGAATTCTTTGATTTTTGCCCACATAGGCGGCACTGTGGATCGTTTCAAGCAATTTACAATATATATAATAATGCACTTTTATATATATATATGTATATATATGTATAAATGAACTCTATACCGCATTGACACAGTTGTTTCAAATCATTTTTTCACCTTTAAATTCTGTTCTTTAACCTCTTTTCTCTGCATTTCAGTACTCGACGCTTCGGCCACCAAACCGTCAGGCTTCGTTTTTGGTCAAAATTTTTGGTTGGGCAGTCGGGAAGCATGTGGAGCTGTCAAAAATCCCGTAGCTATTACGCTCTCCAAGAACTATCAGCGCATTATGCATTTTGCCCTCATCACCGAACGTGCTCCCTTCGATGTGGACTATCGGGTTGTGTATTTGCGCCATCACTCGCCTTGGCAGGTGGAGATCAAGATGATGTCTGAAGAAATTATACATGTTGGGCTCTGCTTGCCCACCACCTGCACATCACGTGAAATCGAAGAATTATCCACAGCATATTTAGAGAGGGGCCTATTTGTAGAGAGCGACATCTACGACATACGACCGCAAGTGGTTTATGTAAAAGATTTGAAATTGAGTAAAAGTTTCTTTGAAAAACGTACTTTCAAAATGATGTCTGCGTTTCTGACGTTTACGGGCGTAATGTTGTTGGCTGCAGCTTTCTTGCGCGGCAAACCTGTTTCAGAAACTAGCCGAGAGAAGAACACTATGGCAGCCAATGCTAATGAGGATGACATTACTACACCAAACATGACAATTGCTAACAATGAGGATGCCCAGCCTTTACCAGACGTGCGTGATTTTGTCAAATGCTTTGATGTGCTAGACAACTATGATAAGATGTTTACCTTGAAGAAATGTGTCACGCGTGAAATTCCAGTCATAAATGGCTTGCGTTCAGTTTGTGCGATGTGGATTGTACTTTTCCATGTGATGTGGTACATGTATTTTACGGTAAATAATAAGGCTTTCCTGATTTCCTATGGAGAACGTATTTTCCTTCAATACGTCAGCTCGGCTCCGATTTTGGTAGATGCTTTCTTCACTATAAGGTAAGAGCATTCATATGCTAAAATAACTCGCGTAACTATACATAGATTATAATAAATACATTTTTCAGTGGCTTCCTGCAAACCTACAACTTCATGCGAAATACCAAACAGATGGAAACGATACGTAATAATAGTTTCATTCAAAATGTGAAGCAGTTTTTTAAATTGCTCTTTCATCGCTATCTGAGGTAAATAGAAGGCCAATTGATTTTCTTTAACTAGGTCTTGAAATACACGGCGTGGGCTGTTAATGCTTAAAGTCTTGTGCCATAAATTTTGGATGCAATGCAACAAAGTCCTAATAGGCGACTTGACTATACCTAAGGGATAGATTGTGGACGGATTAAAGTAACCTTAGGACAGACCAAGCCGGTTACCGGTTACAATCGAAAACGTTATTTCTCTCGCTAGTTTTTCGGCGAGAGGTGAAGAGTGTAAATTCAAACTTTGACATGGCTTGCTGGAAAAATAACAAAAGGGCGGCCTTTCACCCCCTTTTACATGTTTGTTATGATGAAGTTCGAGATTTCCAGAGTTTCGGCCTGGAAAGCTGTGCCAACAAAAGTTTTGAACCGGATCCATTAATAGACTCATCTGTTGTGTCCTCCAATGTGTCTATGTACCAATGTACATATCTGGGATCTACATGCCCATTTATCTAGATTAACTGACATTAGTTAAATCGCAATTACCTTAAATCGTCAAGATTTTTTAGCTTTTCCAAATAATACTTCTAATTATTTTGGTACGCGAATTTCTACTGTTTGGAAGCTATACAAAAGTCGTTTGGTAAAGACGAAATTTTATCTATCAGTAATTCTGGTAGGTTTTTAATTCACTTTACATTCAAATTGGCAGGGGTTGAAATTCACTCGAAAGTGAATTGCAGGACCTGACGGATTACTTGATTTTTTAACTGTCCGAAATGTTCCATTTTAGGATTCGGTAGAGTTAGCTTATAGCGGTTGTTCCACAATTGTGGCAATGCCAGACCTTTGGGAGTTAACCATGTAAATACGTCTTGGATTGCAAATGATGCCGGCTGATATCAGTGCTATATAGGTCCTCAGTCGTTTATGGAATGGGAGGAAAGTTGTAGCTGTGACAATGCGGACCAGGTGTGATATTTATTTAGTCTCAACGCGCTAATTCCAAGTGGATAGTGTTCTCTTCAAACCCCACTAATATAGGGAGTTGTGGCTTTATAAGCATCCCTTTTTTACTCTTTAACTTGATCCTTTCCACGGAAAATTAGTAATATAATGAACGGATTGCTAATGTTCCATAGAATTTGCAGAACTGGGGAGATTCCTTGGAAACAGCATTCCAATCAATACTTACTGAGTTCAAAGATGGACAGCAGTCCGATAGTTCAAAGGAGACGTTAAAATTACTTCTTCGTACTTACTTTCCTGGTAAGCCTCCCAATACAAATTAAGGTTTTTTTTTGTTTACAAATTTCTAATTTGGACGAATAAATATACACCAATGCATACATATGTATGTATGCATCTGTTTCGCTTTTGTAGAAGACAATTTTTAAGATAAAGAGAGGCGATAGTGTGCCATTTTTGCCTTACTGCAATGTGGCAATTAAAGAAACGAACATATAATGTTTTCCCCGGATTCTATTTTAGAATCGAACACGAAAAGAGAAATGGACAATCAAAAAGCGAATTTTTTTATCGAAGCGAAGCGCCATTAGTTTTCCAAAAATTCCTTCCTTTTTTGAAAGCTAATGTTCTTTTTTGTTGAAAAGTTTTCTTGGGAATTAAAAAAAAATTTATATATATATATATATATATATATATGGCACCACTGATGTATACCAGCAATGACCACACTAGGGATGGGCACCGTGTCCAAAAAAATCGGGCTTCTAATTAATCATGGGTTTTTATTTCGATTTTAAACCATTTAAACAAACTGGATTAAAAACCGGATCTTTTTGGTTTACCGAAAAAGCCCGAATTATACTAAAAGCATTGCAAAAAACCAAAACACTTGAACAAAATATGGAATTAAACGAAATTTTCATTTATACTTATTACTTACTGCTGTTCAACGCAAATCAATTAAAATAATATTTTTGCTTTATTTTATATATCATCTTTATTTCCAAAAATAAGAAATTTAATAAAGCGTTGGACTTATTTATATAAAAACAAACTTCATTTCACAAACAAAAACTTTTTCAATTTATAGATAAAGGGCGTGTATCAATCGGTAACAAAGTTTGCGGCAAGTAAATTTTTGAAAACTATGAGGTGAATAAAATTTCAGTAGCTCACGAGGCTAGTGAAATTTTTGACAAATGCATATAAACTTTTGACAATCGCAAAGATTGTTGCTGTGTGTAATTTTTCGTAAAACAAAAGCTTAAATTGATGAAATGCAATCAGTGATGGTAGATGTTTTCTTAAAATATTAATTTCACTTCAATTTGCAATAGTTTATTCCGAATAAATCTGCGGCTATCAAAAATTTACTGCTGTCAAAAAAGATTTCATTTCACACAGCAGATTGGCAAAACTGTCTCACTATAATAAAAATATTATTCAACAGCTTTCCCCATAGAACTTTGTTACCGATTCACACACGCTCTTAGTACGAAATTTCAATATTCACAATCGACTTCACAATCTGCTATGCTTAGCTACCAGACAACAAAAAAATTTAATTGTCAATTTGGAGTTTTTGGTACGCCGTAAAATTGTATTTTTACCTGGAGGATTTACAAAATAATTAACCATTGCTGGGGAATGCAAAAACCGAATTTTCCGTTTAAAGGAAAAAAGACGATTAACACATAAATTAAAAAAAAAAAAAACTTAGAAAGATCATTAACCAAATTTAAAACAACCGGTTTTTAGAAACACCGATCTTATTTGAACATCCCTACCAGAGACAGCTTTGAGTTTGTGCGCGTTCGCATAAAATCCAAATCCACTCTTTTTTTAAGCTGAATAACGGTAAATTGCAAAACTATCTCAAAAACGTATCCATAGAAAAAAAAAAATTAACTCGATTTTCGGAAGTTTCCCAGCAATTCTACATAGGAATTGGATAGTGTCGTCTGGAGAACAAAAAACAAACTAAATTTGTGATCCAGTGTATTCAATCTTATCCTGAGATCGATGTCGATGAAGTTATTTAAGTTAGTATTCGGACATTCGGAGATCTCCATAAAAATTTTTGGATAAGATAAGATACGCTCCGGGCTTAGTCAACTCCTCAGCCCTCTCATTTCATTGTAAGTTTCTACGAGAGAGATGTCGATGCACACCTTCCATACTCTCAAATACTTATGCCATTACATATTTTCTCTATTTTACTGCTAATTTTTATACTATTTTGCAGACTAGGTCCTCTGTACTTGGTGATGATGGGCACAGTAGATTTATTCTATGCGTACATAGCCGACGTATCCGTCTATCACATCAGTGAACGTTTCGATGAGAAATGCACACAATTTTGGTGGCGTAATTTGCTCTTCATACAGAACCTCTACAGCCACAATGATATGTGCCTCAACTGGACGTGGTCGTTGGCGTGCGAAATGCAATATTTTGTGTTAGCCACAATACTACTATTCACCTATACCAAGTAAGTAATGACCCACTCAGACACCCAGAATTTTATCACTCATACATACATATATACATATGTACATATGTTTATTTTCTCCTTCTAGAAATCCACGTTTGGTTAAAGGCTTTACCATGGCTATTTTTGCCGGCACCATTGCTTGGAGTTACTCGATTGGCTTGGATTCAAAATTTCAGTTATCATTTGACTCGGTCTTTGCTACAGGTACTGAGATCTACATGAGCTCCTTTGTGCGCATCCTACCTTACGTGGTGGGCGCTGCAACGGCCTGGTATCTGCTGGAACGGAACTCACAAATTGAGTTAAGTGAGACGAAGGAAAAGTGCATGTGGAACCTGGCTATATTAGTATTCTTCACTTGCATCTATTCGACCATCAAGCGTGACATGTCAGTGTTGTCGGCTGTATCTTTATTCATTTTTGGGCGCTTTTTCTTCTCGCTGAGTATTTGCTGGATGATTGTCGGTAGCGCGACGGGTCGTGGCATCTGGTGGTCGCGCATTTTGGAGGCAAAAGTGTTTCAGCACATCAATCGGGTGTCGTATGGCATTTACTTGATCAATCCATTTGTGATAGCGTTCTTCTTTAGCTTGACGAATGCCAGCACGCATGCTGATCCGTTGATGTTGGTGAGTGGTGGTTTGGCTAATTAAAACATTTTAAATTTTATAAGAATTACTGAAATTGATTAGTATATTTTTTTTTTGTTTATTTATAGTGTGTGCTGACATCTGGTTTTGTGGTCATTGTTTATCTGGCATCTGTGGTATTCTCGCTGGCCTTTGAAATGCCCTACTGCAACTGGTCTAGTTTGATGCCAAAAGGCGGACTCAAACAGAAGCGCCTCTAGATATGCAACTAATTTGTGTTTTAACTGTAAATATGTAAATATTTTGGCTATGTTTGAAAGGCGCTGCTTAACGCTTAGAAATCTTAGCGTTTACTTGAGTTAAATGCTTTGATTTTCGCTTTTGCTGTAAACGCCTTGACTATTTTTTTGTTTGTATTAATTTTATTGTGATCGTTATCCATCCAGCTTGGTAGTTAAATACGTTTAAATTTTAAATGATAATACATATAAGTTTAAGTTAAATGGTATATGTAGTAGGTATTAAAATTGCTCACACCTAGACGAATTCAAATATTTGTACTTTTATCATACAATATTTTTTAAGACGCTGAATTTAATGTACATATATATGTATATGTATGTATATATGTATATAGACGAAAATGTATAAGTTTACATATTTAATATAAGGATGTACATAGATGTTCTTTTTTAATTTGGCTAATTTTGTATTTTGTTTATGGAACTGTATCAATCTATGTTCAACATAAATATCGAGCCCTAACCGACAAAATAACGTAAGCAACATTTTTTTTTTTAATTTTCTTTTTGATGCAGAAATGCATCTAGAATCTAGATGCCCCAGGAATATTTCTGCATCAAAAATAAAATTTTGAAAAAAAATGCGGTTAGGGCTCGATATACATATGTACATGGACGTATGCTTAAAAATAAAAGTATTTGTTGAAATGTATCAATTACAAAAAATATGCATTTATGCATACAAATATTGCGGAATGCTTATGTAATCATTCATAAATTCGATTCAGATATGAAAAATTAAAAAGAACAGGTCTTTTATTTCCGATAGGGGTCAATTATAGCTAAGATGCTAATCGCCTCACCTCATACTTTCTAAACGTCCTGGAAAGATTGTTATATTCACATACCTAAGTATTCTGCCCCAATGGTAGAGCTGTGGAAATTGCACTTTACCAAACAGCTAGGAGGCACCTCAAGTATTGGACTAACTGTGAAAGAAAGATTGGAATGTGGTCTAAATGTCAATTCGGTAAAAGCACTCATGGTTCTCCAAACCACACTGAGTTCACTGGGCATAAAACTCTGTTGCAAATAAAGTTTTTCCTAGTTATAAGCGTTTACCGATCTTAAGCGTCGATTTTATACCTTCGAAGATTTCCCTGCTTTTAGAGCATTTTTTTTACATATTTGTTGAAATATATTTAAGGGATTCACAAGTCGTGTTAAACGTCGTATTGTCTTAAAATTGTACAATGTAAAATATCGGTTAACAGCGATTTAATATATTCGTGGGGTATAATAATTTAAAAACATTTTGGTGAAGTTATAAATCGCCTTAAAAGGTATTAACTATTATTTTACGTTGAAAAATTTTAAGACATTACGACAATTAACACGTCTCGTGATTCTCCTAATTCTATACAGAAAGGAAGTACCCATTCGAAATCTCCGTCTTTGGCCTTACACACGCATTAAGTCGGACTGGCCAATGCATTCTTACCAACAAAGGATAAAAATATTTTTCGGAAAGTGAGAAAAGAGATTTAAACGTACGCGGTCTATACATATGAATTTTGTCATCGAACACACCTAGAATAAAAATGAAAAACTAACTCCGATCACCATAACCAATTAAAAAGTGAAATCGCTTCTCTATCAGCTGTTTTTATGTAAATATTTTTCATTTGAAATATGTTTGCTTTAAAGCTGTAAGCACTTCAAATCTAATTTTAATGAAACAAATTTGCAGCGGAGAGTAATTGTTTACGCCACCTATTAAATTAATCCAGGGCCCGAATCACCGTGATCATCCGTGATCGAATCGATTCGAAATTTCTTTTTGAGATTACTGCATTCGGTGGCGCGCTCGGCATTTCAGTTTAAATTGTATTGGAGAGAAAACAGCTGTCATTTTATTTCATTAGATAGGCATCGTGATTCAGGCCCAGTTTTATGTACAGGTTTTGACATATTTATGTGCGCTAATCGAATTAAATTTGAATTTTTTAATAATGCCTCTAACTATGTAATTATTCTCTATTACACCCAAGGTACATTGAACAGGTAGTATCAGTAGAGCAGCTGATTTGATTTATTTTAAAATTATTTGGTCTCGAGAATGTCAAATATTTTTAATTTTTTCTCACAAAAATTCTGAATTGTTAAAATCCATTTGCATGTGAAACCTTTTTCCATACAAAACAAGCGATTGAATAGCAGCTTTTGGAACGTTCGCCCAACTCAGCAGCACAACCGCTGATTACTGGCCCTTGTAAAGGATGGATCAATGCTTCGAGAAGCAAACAAATTTACTAGGAAAGAAAGTTGCAACAATTTTTATTTTTTCCAATTTCAATTTTTTATTTTTTATAATTTTTTGTATTTCACATGGCACGCTTTGATTTAGAAGAAAAAATTCAGAACAGTTTTTGACACTTTCGATACCAGAAGCAACAACAAAATACACGCAAATGTTGTTTTTGCTCTACTGATACTACCTGTTTAATGTGCCTTGATTACACCTGTACAATATATAGACCCTAAGTTGAAAGAATTTAGTAAAATAATCTGCTGGAATAAAGGAATGCAGCACCACGACAATTAAGTTGCGTGGCGAAAAAAGTTGACCTGCATCACTTGTTTCGATGAGAAGACCGATTGACTATTTCAACTATTTTCTAATGTACCAAATTATAGAGAATATAGTTTTAGAAACCAACAGAGCAGCAAATATAGGTCGTTGTATCGGTGTCCTCGCTTAGAGAATTATTGGGGTAGAATGCATTTAAGCCCATCAGCGGCACAATGCTACTAAAGCAGTTTGAAAGGATAAAAAAATGTTTAAGTTTTATTGATGGGGAAAAATTTGTACAATAAGGATGGCCCTCTATTCAAAACAAGATCCTTTTCAGACCAATTAAATGAAAGGTTCGATACGGTCCCAAAAAGGGCTCGCCTTCGCGTTGATGGGCAAATTTGCGCCACGAAAATGGAACATCATCTTCGGCAGTACATGCCCAATAAGCCACATAAGTGCGGTATAAAACTATTCGTGCTCTGTGATTCTTACGGATTTTCCTATCGCTTTGGCATTTATAATGGGGCAGGCAATAATGTAGTACTCCCCGGAATGCCTGATGTGGGTGCTACATCAAACGTGGTTATTCGACTATCACAAACGGTTCCAAGTTTTGCCAATTTCATAACTTATTTCTTTATGTATCTGTTGATTGAAATAATAAGAGAGCACAACTCGCATATGGGCGGCGTTGATTTGATGGAAAGATACCAAATCCATTTGAAGACGAAAAATCCAGCTTTACGAATTTTGTACCATCTACTAGAGGTGACATTTACCAAATCATATATTATTTTTTGTCTTTCAAATGAAAATTAGTCCTCAATCAACTTCAATTTAGCAGAATTTCGCGAAGAAGTAGCTCAAAGTCTTTGTAAAGATGACATCCGTTTTACTGGCCGACCAACAACAGATAAATCTGAAATAACTGGATTGAAAGTGGGATTAAATAAAAGCCAAAATACCTTGTGATGAAATATGACTAGATGACCGTGGGCATAGTCCTGGAATGAGTGATGCAAAGGGATAAAGAAGATGCAAGCATAGTAAAAAATCAGATACGCAAGTTTATTGTATGAAGTGGGAGCTAAATTTGTGTCTCACACTCTCAAAGAATTGTTTCTTCGATTTTCACCAACTGATTTCAGCAAAAAAAAAAAACATGTTTTTGTTCCGTTATATTCCTTCATTAATACTGGTTAAGATACATAAGCATTTATGTATATACATGTACACAGTTATGGTCAACAAAATAAAGTGTTTTTTGGTTCAGTATACGACTTTTTTATTGCTTTTTATAAGCTTTAACCGGCAAGAACGTCTGTAGGTGGTGATTCTTTTTTCTTGTTGTAGTGACCAAACTATTGCGGGAATTTCAAAATTGACTTAAGATCCATTAATGTTAGGGTCAAGTTACCCCTATAATATTTTTTAAATATAGTTAACCTTGAAAGCTATGGCTTGCTGTATAGAGGGTCATAGACGCATTTAAATTAATTTTTCTTTAAGCAGTTTGATGTTGAAAGGTTGGATTCTGGTAGCATTTACATGTATGTAGGTAAATTAGGGCGGGTAATTTTTTTTTTAATATGCGCGTATTACATAGGAGGATTCTACGTGTAGTTCTAAGAAATTTGCCGAAGAAACTATGGGTCTAAAATCCACTTGGCGTTTGCTAAATTGCGAAAATAGGTTCCGAAGAAAATTTTAAAATTTTCACTATTGTACCTTCTGATGCAAGTGTTAAGAAAAAAATAAGTGCAGAAATGGATTCCCCATTACAAAAACTTCCTTACGGCATTCTGTTTTACAAAATTTAAGCACTTCTTTACGACACTACAGCAACATGCTAAGAAACCTATTTTCGCAATTTGGCAAACTTCATGCTACTGAACGGGTTTGGACGAGATTTTCTCCAATAAGTATACTCTGTATCGATAGAAGAGTGATATTTTTTATTTAGAATTTTAATGGGGTTGCCACCTGTCTAAAAAACTATAAGATCCGCGTCGTTCCTTTGATTACAAAAGATGAGGTGTCAAATGAAAGGGATTGGCCCCTGAAAAAGCACTAATGTTTTATTTTGCTGAATAGGGTTGCCACCTGTTCATAAAATTACAATATTCAATCATAGGCATCAGTTCTGCGCCATCACTGCCAAAGGAAAGGCTAAGCCTCTAGATGAGCAATAATGTATTATTTTTCTGAGTAGGGTTGCCAGCTATTAAAAAGTTATAAGCTTTTCGCCGTTCGTTGGATTACAAAATGAAAGGGCATGGCCTTCTCATGTGCAAAAGCTTTATTTTTTTGAATAGGGTTGCCACCTATTTGAAAATTACTATCTTCTATACATAGTATAAAGGAAAGTCGAGATATTTTGACAGAGCCAATCTCAACAACTACTGAATGGCTTTAGACTAGAGCTTTTAAGTATAATCTTTACCGATAGGATTATTATCTTTAGTACCTACTTTAAATTACTATAGGGTTGCCATCCGTAGGATTACAAGAAATAGGGTGTCGAATAAAAGTGCTCGACTTTTAGATGTTCAACATTGTATTACTTTGTGTGCAGGGTTGAAACTTTTTTTAAATTATAATATCTTCACTGTTTGTTGGACTAAAAGCTGGGGTACCAAGTGAAAGAATATGGTCTCTGCATGTGCAATGAGTTTTTATTTTTTGTTTGAGTGGGGTTGCCACCTATTTAAATATTATATATGTATAATGCGCTAGGCAATTTTTTGTTAATGACATTAGATTTGCACAGTTCAATCAACTTAAAAAAGTGAGGAGTTAAATAAAAGGACTAGGCCGGCAGATTTGCAGTAAGGTTTTATTTTTCGAAGAGGATTGCAACCTGTGTGAAAAATTAAAAAAATATAGCGTACAAAACGTGACGTTTTAAATGAAAGAGATTGGCCTCCATATGCGCAATTATATATAATTTTTTTTAGTAGTAGGGTTTAGTTGTCCATCACACCTTCTTTAATATCTACACATTCAGCGTGTGGCC